GACTTCAAGGTGATTTTTGTACAGCAAACATTGCCGCTTTTTGTGTTAATTTGAATGTTCTAGGTAGGACACGTACAGTGCTTTGGGGGATGGAGACGGCATTCATATTCGGGGCTGCATCTACACGGCCGGTTGTTTCTGCCGATGCTCTTTTATCTGACAAAAACAAGCGTGTACCTGCACGATTACTGATAGCAGCCACACAATTACCGTCGTCCCTTTGGCGCAAGGAAGGAACTTCCGCCGAAGAAAAGGATGGCACTACCCTGGTTGATCAACTGTCACTTCTGTGCAAAGGAGAGAAAAAAAAAAAAAAAAAAAAAAAAAACCAGCCGTAAGAAATAATCAGTGCATTTGTAGACATGCTAACCGATTTTTTTATCTCCCTTTAAGTGACACAGCAGGGGATCAGAACAGGTCGTGCCAGCTGAGATTGAAATGGATGAGCGTTGGAAGAAGACCGAATGTATTGGACGCTTGTTCCAACCCTCACGTCATCTCTTGTTTTTGTGTGAGGAAACGAAAATGCACCTTATTCTCCGTTTTCTCTGCTCTTCTATTCTCACTTTGCTGTGAGACGACGCAAGATGTCTGCGTGGTGGACCTGAAGTAATGAGAAAGCCCCCAAAGACCTTCATTGTATTTTTCTTCTTTTTTTTTTGCCCCACTTTAAAAGGGGACTGATGACTACACGGGCGAAAAACGAGCTCCGTTTGTTTAAAAACGGCCCTCCCAAGCTCTTTTGTTTTTTTTTTTCCCTCTCAAAAGACTAACACATGATGTAGACTTAAACAACCTCTCCCCGTGCCACCGTACACACGGTCGTCACCGAGCTTTTAGCTCCAAGGCCATTACGAGCCGCATGCGATTGCTCACAGGCTTAAAAATAGTGCCCCGATCCGATAATGGACTATAGTTTATGGTCATTAATGCGCGCCTGCGCGCATGTGTGAGACTCAAATGTTCACATTGAGTCACGATACAATCCACCGCTGTGAGGGTAAAAGGTGTCTGAAAAAAAAAATCTATTTGGGATGAGACATAAGCAGCTGTGGACTGTCAGATTGTCAAATCCTGATCGTTATTTTCCACTTTGAATGGACTTTAAATGATTGCTTGAATGGCACTCGGTAAAGCACAGAACTACACCCGCACCCCACCCAAAAAAAAAAAAAAAATTATAAGCAAATAGCATGCTACAGTATTCTTCTTTACAAAATATAAATAATGAAAACTCAAAAAAAAAAACAAAAAAAACCTCAAAGAAGGTCACAATCGCTCAGTAAGCCGCAGGAAAATTTGTTTGTTTTTTTTTTTTTTGCAGAGGATAAAGAATATATGTCTGTGCAGTTATCGTCAACCCTTGTTACTATTCCATTTATGTTAAAATAGCTTCTTGCTTTCAGTTTTGACGACAGCGACATCAATGCTAGTTTTGTTAGCCCGTCTATGGCATTTTGCATTTTATGTTAGCATTACGCTAGCAAACATATGGAGTTGTAGTCAGTACACTTCCACCGGGAGTGGAGATAAACTACTTGAAGAACACACAAGGTCTATATATTTTTTTTAAGAATTATTCATTATCTGCAAAACCCTCATGAGAATTTTGCTGCCACCGCCTCGCACTCTGTTAACTCAAATTTTTGCTATCAACTTAAGAAAAAAAGAAAAGAAAAATCAGCCTTGGCTTTTCCCAATATCTTTCAGCAAAAGGGAACAAAGGTTGCCAACAGTAATAAGAAAGACACCGCCAACTCAGGAAAAATGCCATAGTGTACACATCAATTCTTCATCCAGCTGCCGGACAGATAAGCGAAAGGACCCTGAATGCATCATCACCAAGTAAGCAATGCCCTGTGCCACAAAAGACATCTTGGTCACAATTCGAGCAGTTCAAGAGGGGTCGAGCAACAAGAGACATATGAAGAACGAACTATACGTACACACATCAAGGCGGAAGTGTGGAAGTGGGTGCCGGTGGGTGCTCGGCGGACCCAGAAACAGGAGGTGGGAATTGAGTCAGCAGCGGGGAATTAGAGCATCAATTAAGGGCAGCGTGCTCTGGGTGGCACGGCAACATTCGCACAATGCATTACCGTCAGCGCTATCTATTGCACACGTCGCACGGGCGCAGTCGCACACTTTGTCTTTCCCTTTCATGCGTTGACACTTGGCTACATAAAAAAAAATAGTCAGAGGACACAGCCAACCTGCATGATTTTTTAAAAAATATTTTTTTAAGACCCCTGTCCTCTCGCGCTTCCTGCTGAGTGGTGCAGGTGAGAGCCCCCCCCCCCCCCATAAAAAACAGGAACCCAAGTATTGAATTATTGAGGAGTGGACAGCGGCACACGCCCCCCACGCGGGTAAGGTGACACCCAAAAAGAGTCTCGTGCAAGACACGTATTACAAAGAAGAGGCTAATGTCGTACGATCGTAGCCAACATCTTCAGATACGTCTAGTTAAGTACGGAAAAAAAATAAAATAAAATCCAGTCGTTGAGTGAACAGGACAAACGGTCAAACACGCAAATACAGAATGGAAACACTCGCAAGGAGCATGGAGGAGATGCTAATACTCGCTAACGTGACTGACTCCAGTCTCCTGATGTCACTCATTCAATCATAATCCATTAGAGTCACGGCAGCACACGAATGTAGTACACTGCGTGCGTGTATGTGTCAGGGTTATCATCTTTTGGGATTTTTACTTACAGTGAGCATCGTTTTTATATTTTGTTTTTACTTGTGGGTTTTTTTTTAATTCAGTTGGTTTTGACTAGTTTGTAGTTTTAATTTTTTTAATGCTTCCATTTAATTTTTATTAGTTTTAGTTTGTTTTTACAGATGGAGTATTTTTTGATTGCATGACTTCAAAAAAAAAAAAAAATTGCATTGTGTAAGATGTTAACTACAATTTCCTAATGACAGTTTGAACTTCCTTCTTCCAAATGAAATTAATTGACAAAGTTGAAAATGTGGGACATCTTTGTTCATCAACTGTTAGTCTTACAGCTGTTCAAAGTCATCAAATTTTTTAAGAACATTCGTTTTCATTTAATTTTATTTATGACTTTTTTTCCCAAATCAAATTTAGTTTTTTTTTCTTTGAACCTTGCCTAAATACTCGACAGGAAATAGTCCCAAGGCAGACTTCATAGGAGACGCACACACACGCAGTCATTATGTCAAGGACAGTGTGACCCACTCGGGGGAGCGGAGCCTGATGGGATGGATGGGCGACATCACATCCTGTCGAGCTTGAGTCACGGGAAAATGTTCATTAAACAACGCTCCCCCGTAAGCACGAGCTGCTGATCAAAATGAATTGTCGTACTTCTTTGTCATCCCTAGCCAGCCAATCAAGCGGCCACCTTTGGGACGACAACTCATTTCTGTCGCTAATCAAAAACCGCTCCTCCGTGACCTCTTGTTTGCCACCCCCTTGTTCGATTCTGCTGCTGCATCGAAACTGGCAGTTTTGTTGAGTTAATATGTGGCTACAGCAAGGGCTATTTCAGATTTTTTTTTTTTTTTTTTGGAGAGCCCAAGTCAAGCCTCATGACAACTACCTGCCCAAATCTTCCTATTGTATTCAGGTTGAAGTTCCCTCTAAATCCCAACACTGTTAATCCCAATCTGCACCCCACCCCCACCCCCCTCCGCTCCTTGAGGCTGCCTTCCAAACCAGTCGCAGGAAAAAAAACAAATACAAAACAGCAGACAGAGACTGGTTGTGGGGATTATGGAGAGCCTGGAGGCAGAAAAAAGGAGAGAGAGGAAGAGAGAAACATCCCTCTCAAGACACACGAGTGTCAATTCAAGTGGGGGTAAGGGCTGTGACAACAACTGTCGCTGGTGTGGAGGGAGAGCGGCTTTCTTCAGTTAGTTAAAACCTTGCTTGCTCTCATCAACAGGAATCCTTTCCTCGGGCAATAGTGAGGAAATGTGGCAAAAAGATGAGTTTTGAACAGAGGGCTGCACGTACAAATGCTAAAAACGAGTCATGTTATGGTGCCACTTCTGTTCCGTATATTTGGGCACTGAGAATAGAGAAAACTCGGATGCGTTCACGAATTTTGTTATTAAAAATACTGTAAATGAAATACGACAACATCTGTTAAATCCCCGAGAATTAATCACATGGTTGTTGCCCCTACGTAATTAAATGTATGCATATTAATACTTCCGACAAGCATATGTTTTCCGTCCGCCCACCCATTTTTGCCCTGGTGACAATTTAGGATCTTCTGTTCACATGAATGTTTTAGGGACAACAAGGTTGAGATTCGACCATCGGCCCTCCGAATTGTGCGACGGACGTATGAACAACTTGACTGCTGCGCGAGCGTATGTGTCCAGCGTTGAGCAAAAGTCTTGAGGTTTGTTTCATGAACCTTTTGTCCAGTAGTCAATTTAACTTGTCAACCATGAACTCATGGGGCAGCAGGTTGACACAAATGAATACACTAAACTTTGTAACCCGTATATGATTTCATTTAATCCTTTTGTTCATAATCTGGACAAGGATATAGAAAATTAACATTACCTGTGCTCAATTTAACACCACTGGAACTGTCAAACCGCTAAAATCAAGTGGGTTACCCATCCTGCCGCTAACTAAGGACCCAAATTCTCAACATAAGTAAAGAAGTTCTCCATAACATTATCCTATTAATATTTTTAATAGCCTAGTCATATCGTCATACCTCTTCGTTGACTTCTATGAATATTGTGAAAATATTTACAGTATTTGACTGTAAATAAGATATCATAGCAATTAGCTCGATTAAAAATACATACATATATTTATAAGGCATTAGAAATTAATTACTGACACCTGTTCAGGCTCCGCAACTGTAGCCCATGATCCCAAATGAGAATATTTGACGGTCCGGTGCTAAAGTCCAATGATGTCACCGCAAAGTCACTTTATTCGCACGCTAGCATGGATGCTCGAGGAACCGTCGAGGGCGGTCAAAGTTGATTCTACTCACGTCCCGAGGACTTCCTTCAAATCGAACATCTTCTTGATGTCGTCGACCTGCTTCTTCCAAGTCTCCCCCCCGCTGGTGTCTCCGTTCTCCCGAGCCATGGCGCTGCCTAAGACCGGACGGGGGGTAGCCGGGGAGAGGGACAGATGCGGGTGAAAAAAAACAAATTAAAAACAAGGATATAAATGTAAATAACTAAAGGTGAGGGTTCCGAGTTTTGAGAGTGCTGTCCCGGGATCTGGTACTGAACTGCGGTAGGACCATGTGAGTCCTCCAAGCAGGTTGCCGTGTCCCTGCTCCTCTCGTCTCCCTCCCCCTCTCCATCTCGCTCCCGCCTCCTTCTCTTCCTCGTCCCTGGCTGTCAAGTACTCGGGCGTGCTGCAACTTCCTGCCGCGGCGTTTAAAAATAAGTGTAGTAGCATGAACTTTTTTATTTTTTTTATATTTTAATTATTTTTACGCTTTCACTGTTCAGAGATTCCACATAAACACTATTTCCTTGATTTAGCTCACACCGGTAGATCATCGGTCCATTTTGGTAAGACTCAAATTTCACCCACAACAGCCTCACTGGACAGGAACTTAATATGACTGTGAAACAGTGACATGAAAAATTATTTCAGTGTATTCTGGGTGACTTTAATAAATTTCCTTACATTTCAGGAAGAGAGACTGACATTTAGAGCATTTTTTTAATTGCTGTCAAAATGGGTCAAACCTGACTCGGATGACATTTCAAGTCTTAAAATTTGGGGAAAAAACATGTTTTAAAAATTTAGACTCAATATTTTTAACCAAATCAGGCACCAAGCATTGCTGTTTCATTTACACTACACTTTTTTGACTCTCTTCCTCATCTCCAAATGACACGGCCCAATTGGCCATTTTAAAAATTAAATGTACCTTCGAGCAAGAACATGCGCTCAGTTTTTCTGTTGTAGCTTATATTTTGAAGGCAAGTCCCTGCCATTTCCGGATGTACCTCAGCGCCTCTGTCACACTTCACGCAACATATGCTGTCACCTGGAGATTAATTGAAAAGCTGTCAGCGCCTTTCCAGTTTTAGCAATGCAGCACAATCAAACAGCAAACAATGTTTGACCCCCCCAGTCAGTTTGGTGAGCATCGTCCCACCTCCATTACTTCAGTGATGTTAGCGCGCTGGGGGTGAGCTCTGATCATCACAGTCAGGACATCTGTAGAGGTCATCTCAGGCTGTACGACAACACACACTGGCCTTAATACTTGCATGGACGGAGGCAGTGAAGAAGGTGGTGGTGGTGGTGGTGGTGGTGGTGGTGTAGGCTGCAAAGCACTGCAGCCCTTTCTCAGCTGTAGCCAAGGAAAACACCTCTGGCTCCTCACCCTCATCCCTCCTGTTCCCCCAATGGAGAAAATCAGCCTTCACATATTGTCAGTCAACGCTATTAACTTGATTAGGATTTTATATTTGTACCCCAAATTTGTTCGTGTGTTTTTCACCTCTTTATCTTATCCCGACCTTAATTTTTATTTCAACATTTCAAATTAAAAGCCAAAAATTCAGACCAATTCAACTTGTTCCTACTTTTCAAAACAACAAAAAAAAAAAAGCCAAAAATTAAGATTTGTTTGTCTTCCAATTTCGACATCCTTTGACCGGTTTTAGCCATTCCAACTATAAATTGTTCATTCCCCCCCCCCCCGATTCCAAATTTCTATATATGCTCAGCTCCGTCCACATCATTTCATATAATTCTACAATTTTTTATTCAGCCTCTCAGCATTCGCACACGATTTCTCAACTCGAGTCACGGTATACTCACCCTTGATGAGACAGACAGGAGGTGTTTTCATGGCGATAGCATCATCTCGGTGTTGAACTGATACATATCGGCTGAGAGACAACTTTGCAGGGGAGGGGCTAAATTTAGCCTGGGTCGTTAGTAGAAGTCCTCACATTCACTTCGCGCTTTACTAACAAGATATAAGCGGTGGTTGTTTTTTTTTTCTTAAGGCATTAAATGGCTCCCAGAGAGACTGCGCAATTTAGTCGTGATTGTCATCTGCTAAGTGTATTAAATGGAATGCTCTTATCAGTATTGAGTAGATTTCCGACACAATTCAAACGTATTCAGTATGAGGCACGACACGGGTCAAGGCAGGACGCTGCAGCCGCGTGTCTGCCCGCAGCACATAATGATGATAAACCAGCCGCATTTTCCGCACTTGGGCTCTTGAACCATAACTCCCACCTCGCCAGCTTTTTCCACACTCCCGTAATTGCTATTTCAATCCAGCGGAGGGTGGGGGCGGGGGGTGTCGACTACACACTCGAGCACACAATACACAACGCAAATTGAAGAGGGCCGCTTGGAGCTCATTCAAGCTCGTGGCGTAATTGGAGCCGTTACGTAAAAGCACAATCAATTCCTAATGTGCTAGTTTGGCGGCACGCACCAGACGTGACAGCTCAGTCGATATATGACAAGAAGTTTAATGGGGTTCCGTAGGGCCGCGGTCTACAGAGATGCATGATGGGAAAACAGCACACATTAAAAAAAAAAAAACGAGCGGGGAAGGGGGGCGTGAAAAATCGAGGCAATGAGTGTGTCAGGACTGCAAGGACTAAATCTACTGGGACGAACGGGAGGACGGCGGCAAAGAAGCATGAAAAGTGACTGGGCGATCAAGAGCTTTAGTGGTAAATAAAGACGCTTGCTCAAGACTTCGAAGGCACAGGCGCAGTTTTGCTGGATTTGTGCAGTCGAAAAACAAGACATCGAACCTGCCACGTGATCTACCGTAACCGTAACAATTCGGCCTTATGTCACGTGTGAAACTCCCCGAACGATTGCTTCAGGTCACACGACGAGCTGGGGGTGTGGGGGGGTGCGGTCTTCGAGTCACTGCATGCAGGGAACGTGAGTGTCACTGCGGAGGCTCGTCCTCCTCTTCGTCCTCCTGTTGGCCTTTCTGCTGTTGGGTTGGAGACGCTCGTTTAGTGAACATACCAATGCTTTTTTTTTGGGGGGGGGGGTCAAAAAGTCAGCAAAAATCAAAGCTTGATTAAATACGCACATGAAGATGTAGTGTTTACCTTTACATTATCGTGTTTCGACAACCTGGCTATAAACTGGGTGTGCAGGTGTGTGTGTGTGTGTGTGTGTGTGTGTAAAAAAAAAAATGCGCCAACTCTGCTTCTTAAAAAAAATAATTTTGAACTCCACTTGATCGTATTTGCATCATAAAACGTCCGAAGATGTAAAACGCCATATGTGATAAGGATGATGATGATGTTTAATGTGCTGCGCTGTTAAAACAACATTCTTTTGATTCAAGCCACTCACCAGCTTGAGGAAGTCGATGAGCTTGTAAGCGTCCTCGCCGGCGGACAGGTCCACAAAGTCACGTGGGATTCGATAGCTCAGGCAGGGGCTGGGCTGCACCGTCACCTCACTGGTGGTGTAGCGGAAAGCCGGCCCGTCCTGCAACAAGACGTCGGTGAGTTTGCGCGGCGACGGGGATCGCGTTGCAAGCGCTACGGGGCGAACCTGCCGCTGGGCGATTTCGCCGCCGGACGTCAGCTCCGCCCAGCTGAAAAGAAGGGAGTCGGTGACCTCGCCGAATGGATTTAGATCAACAAGCCACACCCTCCCCTTGCAAACGGACATACAACAAAAGAGGGGGAAAAAAAAAAAATCAACATGAGTCTCCCTATGTCTTAGCTTATCACAAATGTGCTCATGCGTACCTGGCTATCTCTGTAGACATCCAACACAACTGTAAAACAGTTACGCAAGTTGATACGGTGCTCAAACTCGACATTAAAAAGTGACGAGACAAAAAAAAAAAATAATAATAAATCAGTAAATACTCACAGTCCTCATCCAAGAAGTTATACTGAATGTGCTGGCTAAAGAAGTGGTGGATGGCGTGAACAATGGACTCCTCCTGTTTCAAGATGTGCGGATAATACTGAGTGTAGTCTCTTTGGCTGATGGCTGGCAACACATAGAAACAAAGAAAAAAAACTAATACAGGACGGCGGAAACACAATAAATACGTTATCAAGTGGATTTTTTTTTTTCCTCTGTGGGTTTTGGTAGTTTGTCCATTTGCAAAATTGAAAAATATGCATGAAATAAATACGGTACGATGTGAATGGGCCAGCTGTTCAACTGCATGCGAAATTTAGTACCAATAAAATGCATACAAGGCCCCACAAACACATTTTTCTTTTCAAATTGTCTGGACCTTTGCCCACACGCAAAACAACATCATTACATGTGTAATCTGTATTTTGACCATTCAGCCACAGGAAAAAAAATTTTTGACTGGCAACCAGTCTGGGGTAGAAAATGGATGGAAAAAAAAAATTTGACTGGCAACCAGTCTGGGGTAGAAAATGGATGGCTTTTATTTTAAGGTGTTATGGCGCCACCTACTGCTTCGTCATTTCTAGTACAGTACTGTATTTTTTTTCCAACAAGCTTTGAGCAATTGATTTTCTTGCCCATTTAAAGCAAATCATTTCTTTTTTTCATGTTGGGACAGAAAGCATGCTTGCTAACTGGACTTACCAATCAGTTTATTTTCCTTAACGAAGCAGCGGAACTCTCCACCGGGGATCAACTCGCTCCACTTTCTCAGGACCAGCTGAGGAGAGGAAATATTGTACACTGAACATTTAACAAATAAAATTTACGTGACTTGATTTTCAGACTTTTTTTTTTTTTTTAATTACCTCATAATTAATGACAGGATCAGGGGAATCCTGGTCATTGCAGTGAAGGAATCTGCACGATTACAACACAGTGTTGGAAGGAAAATAAAAATATCATAAAAGCTAATGCTTGTGTATTAGCGGCTTACGGCTGCGTGAGGTCGTGGGTGATGAAGTCGGAGCTTTTGAAGAGGAGAAATATTTCGCTTAGACTCTGACACTGAAGTGAGCTGTTCAGTGCAATCCAGTTGGCGTCCTAAAATGAACACACAATATTTTCCGATTAAGGGAAAAAATCACTTCACAGAATCTTGTTTTGTTTTTTACCCTTGGAGCACTCCAGTTGAGTTTGGGAAAAACACGACCACCCAGAGCATTTACCGCCTCCAGTACTTTGGCTGTGAATTCTGGGAACTCTGGCGCCTGGTGGAAACACATACGGGGATCAAGTTGTGCAATTATCCATCATAAAAGATTTTTGTTGCTTACTGTGACTGTGGTGGTTGTTTCGTCATCTGACCACTGCAAGGGGGCAGAGGAAAGGAAATGTTACAAAGATGCTCGATCAAAACATCACAAATACACAGATCCAACACACTGTGATCGGAAAAGTCACTAAAAATAGCAAGCAAATGGGTATACTGGCAACAACTGTCTTAAATTGCAATTGCTATCTTAATAATAGCAGTTTCCCTTACCTGAATGTCTTCCTCAGCATCCGAATCACTGTTAATATGCGTCTGTTGTGCAATGTGGTCACTTGTGAAGATGAAAAAAAAATGCAAAAAGGCAGTCAACTTCATACAATAACAATCATTTTCTTAACTTGAGGTGTTGCTGTGGTGTGTCATACCTCCCAGAGACTACCAGTGTCCCGTCGTCCAATAAATAATCAATTACATTTTGAGGCAATGGAAGAATCAGACTGGAAAAATAAATAAATCCTTAGCAACAGAGTTAACAGAATTAAGAGGTCACGACAGATGAAAGTGGAAGCATGAGGGCACAGTAACAACACTTAACATGGTGATTGGGGATGATGTCTGGAAATTAGAATTGGCTACGGTCAAGAAAAAAATATTAAAGTAGCAGAGCCATGCGTGCACACATAATAACCGTGTTACCTTTTAATTGTATGGTGTTTAAATATCGGATACCAGACGGAAAACTGACAGTGAGCAACTTGCTCCTTCTTCATGCTGCAACTTCCCGTAGCGAAACAGTGTCCGTCAGTAATTAGCTTCCGCACTTTTCTTGAATATATTTTTCATTTCTTATTGTTCGAACAGACTATGGCGTATTTCTTATGATAACAAATCTAGACATTTTCATTTGTTCAATATTTCTGTGGTTAAACCCCCCCTCCCCCAAAACAAAAAAAAGAAAACGAGTAAATTGCAATAGCGGTCGAATGTTTTGAACTGCACCAGGGAGTTATTTTAATGTTACACACAGCTTCAGAAATGTTCCGTGATTAAGATGCGCCAAAATTGTAACCTCACTTTGAGACTAAATCCTTATTCTAACTTATGGGTCTTTGTTCTCCAATTACAGCCATAAAATTAAAGACTTGGTATTCGAGGTTCATGATGTGGCTATTTAATGTACCAATGAAAGGTTTATGGTTAAATAGTTCAGATTTATTTTTTTGTCATTTCGTAGACATGCACGAGGATAACGCAGTAATCTTTTTTGTAGAATGTCTCCGGTATCGTAGCTTCAAAAAAACCCTATCGCTATTTGGTTTTCCGTGACGACAGGAAAAAACTAAATAATCCAAACATTAGATTTATGAATCAACTAGTTTGACCTGACAAGATACTAGTTTGGGATCGGGTGGCGTTGTCGGTACCCGGAAGTACTAACAGGGTGAACGCTCAACTCCGTCGTCATCTTCTCTGGATCGGTTGGTGTGGTTTCACGTGAGTCTAGTTTACAGATTTCCCAATTCGCATGACTGTTTAAAGTTCAAATTTTACAGCCGTGCTGCGAAAAGCTTACACGCGCAGCATATGCCCGCGGAACAAAATTACTTTTACTTACTTAGAAACATCCTACGGGTTAATCGAAATGGTGGCTTGAATTGTTAATTTTTTTTTCAGACAATACAATGAACCACACTGAAGATTCCAACGAGACGACAGCGCCACACGTCGTTAAAGAAGAGGTATGTTTTAGTAACTTCTCCAATTTATTCAAGTTACTGCAGTCCTCTCCAATTGGCACGTAAACGCATCAGTTGCGTTTTGGATCGCTCAGAAAATGTAAGGGGAGAAAACTGTCTTTTTTTTTTCTTTTGGTTACAGCTCTTGGCATCAGGGAGATGGGTGAAGCTGGAGAAGACCACCTACGTGGACCCTGCTGGAAGCACCAGGCATGATCATCTTTTTCTATCGCTCGTTTTTGTTTATTATGTTATGTCCTTACGCATTTGTCCATCAGGATCTGGGAGACCGTGAGGAGGACAACTAGACAAACCAACACAAACGCAGACGGTACTTTGGGGAGGGGTTCTCAAACCTTATATTTTGAGAGTGGAATCGAACTCGTTCTTGAACAAGGTGTGCCCGGCAGGTGTTGGCATCATAGCGCTGCTGAAGAGGACACTGCACAAAGACTGCGTGGTGATGGTGAAGCAGTTTCGTCCCCCGATGGGATGCTTCACGTTGGAGTTTCCTGCAGGTGATCAAACTTTTCAAAAGGGTATTTTCATGAGAGTGACCCAAACAGTCGACTCTCTCAGCATAAAATGGAAGTTGAAGACGTTTAAAAGTTTGTGTGTCTGCTCAGGCTTGATCGACGAGGGTGAGAGTGCCGCGACGGCCGCGCTGAGAGAGCTGAAGGAAGAAACGGGCTACAAAGGCGAAGTCGTCGGAGTGACCCCAGGTGTTGTTGCATCATCGCCTACGTTAGCGCAGTTGGAGAGCGACAAATTTGAAACGCAATTTGTTGTCGCTTCTTAAAGTGACTTGTCTGGACCCCGGCCTGTCCAACTGCACCACCCAGATTGTCACGGTCAACATCAATGGAGATGAAATGGAGAATATCAACCCGACACAGCAGCTGGGTGAGGCAGAGTGACAACTTTTGTTTTTCTCGTTTGTGACCCACGCTCGCTTCGGCAACATAGCGGCATGTGATGCTGAATAATGCAGCGCACATGACATCAGAGCTGTCCGATTCCAAAGCACAGTTTCGACAAAACAACAACATGATGTCTGAAGGTTCTATTATGTATCCAAGACTCGACTTTGTTTGCTGGCTACCTCATTTTTCTCTTGTGTTTCGCTTCAGGTGATGGAGGTAAGTGGAGTCTTTTAAGATTTTCAACAATAATCCTGTCACTGGATAAATTGGCTCCCCTTCCCGCCGCCGCCAGAATTCGTGGAAGTCCTCCTATTACCTCTTGATGAATTCCAGACGAAAATAGACGGTAAGCTATTTACGGTTCTCGTGTAACAGTGTACGTCGTGGATTCAGACTCTCTAAGAATAAAATGGAAGTTGAAGACGTTTGTGTCTCTGCTCAGGCTTGATCGACGAGGGTGAGAGCGCCGCGACGGCCGCGCTGAGGGAGCTGAAGGAAGAAACGGGCTACAAAGGCGAAGTCGTCGGAGTGACCCCAGGTGTTGTTGCATCATCGCCTACGTTAGCGCAGTTGGAGAGCGACAAATTTGAAACGCAACTTGTTGTCGCTTCTTAAAGTGACTTGTCTGGACCCCGGCCTGTCCAACTGCACCACCCAGATTGTCACGGTCAACATCAATGGAGATGAAATGGAGAATATCAACCCGACACAGCAGCTGGGTGAGGCAGAGTGACAACTTTTGTTTTTCTCGTTTGTGACCCACGCTCGCTTCGGCAACATAGCGGCATGTGACGCTGAATAATGCAGCGCACATGATATCAGAGCTGTCCGATTCCAAAGCACAGTTTCGACAAAACAACAACATGATGTCTGAAGGTTCTATTATGTATCCAAGACTCGACTTTGTTTGCTGGCTACCTCATTTTTCTCTTGTGTTTCGCTTCAGGTGATGGAGGTAAGTGGAGTCTTTTAAGATTTTCAACAATAATCCTGTCACTGGATAAATTGGCTCCCCTTCCCGCCGCCGCCAGAATTCGTGGAAGTCCTCCTATTACCTCTTGATGAATTCCAGACGAAAATAGACGGTAAGCTATTTACGGTTCTCGTGTAACAGTGTACTCGTGGATTCACCTATTTGTGGGCGTTGCATCTGTCGTGTTTAATATGTCTTTGACTGCGTTTCATTCCGTAAGAGCTGCTGAAGAAAGAAGAAATCGTGGTGGATGCCAAGGTTTACATTTTCGCCATGGGGATGGTGCAGGCTTTTTTCAAGCCGAGGGAGCTCCCCGTGCTCAAGCAGTGAAACGACAGGAGCTGAAATAGTATTACGACACGGGACCGAACTCTTTCAGACCATTTTAATTTGTACGATTTCAAGTCCCAAAAAGCAGACAATTATGACTGCATTTTAAGATGTCATTGTTTGGATCCCACATCTCATTTTTTTTTCTGAACGTTTACTCCATGTTTAATTTCAGGTAATAGTCGCATCCATAGGAAGTATGATCAAGATGATGTTTCAGGTTTTTTTTATGACATTACAAGTTACTTTTTTTTTTTTTACTGCAATACATTCCTTCACACACACTAACAACTTGTTACTAACTTAGTAGGACGTGCACGTCAGACACTGTTGAAAACTCAGTGGTGAAGGTCTTTTGAGAGTTAGGTTTTGTGGCTCTTTTTCTGTAAGTTGCTTCTTAATCATCCATGTTTCGAGTGTTCCAGTTATGTTTGTTCATCTATTAATGTTTACGTGTCGCTGAGGTTTCATTCTCTCACTTTCAACTCTACCGCGCGGTGCAAAAAGTTCCTGCTGAACAATCCATGCTGTGGCTCCAGCCTTGTTTTGAGGCCATCATTCCCACATTGATGCTGTACTCACCCCAGGGACCAGAATTTGCGACACAATTAATAAATGTACTACAGCCTCCGATCTTGTGTGAGTCTTCTATTTAAAAAATATGGTCGACAAACTGTGTAATCCAAGAGCATGTTTAATTATGTTAATGACAATACTAGTTAAAAAAAAAATGCTTTGCTAGTAAAAACTAAATGGACCAAAAGTTTGCCAATGTTATTTTCTGCCCCTAAATATGTCTACAGATGTGTAATTTTAATAATGAAATGATAAACGTCTTTTTAAAAGTTATTTTATTTTAAAATACATATAAAAAGTTAACTGTAATCTATTCTCATGGTATTAGAATTAAGTATGCCCAATTCCCCAATTATTTAAGAAATGAATGAAAATGCCAATACGATGTATCTATTTTATTCTCAAGACATTAACCAAAAAATAAAAATGTTAAATATATATTTTTGCTTGGAGGTATTATTTTTTTAATAAAACGACTATTGAATTACGCCAATTAATTAAAAAAACAAAACAAATAATGAGTCGAAGCAACACCTCAATAGATTGCTGTTACACCTTCCTTCCACTTGGTGGCAGCAAGCGTCACAAAGCAAAGACGGAAGCGACCAGGCGCGTCCGACGACATCACTTCCGTCAAAACAACTCTTCGGCTCCGATTTACTTGAAACTCACTCAATCTGACGTCACATTCCAAACAAGTATTTATTTATAGTCAAATGCTTTAACGAAGTAAGGCGACTCATGATATGTGTCATGAGCGCCTGCAAAAGTTTAGCTCCCACCTGTCAGTAGTTGCAACACCAAATGTCGTTTTTCAAACGCAGGTCCGGTATATCCTGAACAAAAGACAAGAAGAACATGGAAGTGGCTGTTAAAGGTAATTCCCCAACACAAGTCCAATTATTGTTAATGTGTTTTTTGTTTTTTTTACTTGACATTATTTGTTTGTTCCAAGGAAGGGCCAAGAGGAGGCATTTGAATGCAGACGAACTGCAAGAAAGCGAAACAGGTCTCGAAGCCCTCATCAATCCTCAAAACTTCAGCAGAAGCGGAGGCAGCACTTCCGGTTTGAACCCGAGGACTACCAAGAGACGGAACTGTGGTGATTGCATTGCATTATATTATATTACAATTTGACAGTTGACGACCTCCAGCGACATTACTTACGTGTCATCTTCAAATTTTATGACAGCATCAGTCACCTCCGCTGCGGAAAACTGTTTTCCCACATGCACAAATGGACTCAATGATGAACCGGAAGATGAGATCAGTGTGGATGAGGAGTGGTTGCCCACAGACCTCGAAGAGGAGCCTGAAATTAACACCATGGACTACTTAGAGGGAATAACGGCGGACATGTTTGAAGATGAGTTCGACTGCTCAGACAAGTTGGTGCACGAGGAGCCGGAGGTGGAAGCCCTGCCGGACGCCGCCTACGGGCTCCTGGGCAGCAGCAAGGACCTGCTGCAGCCTCAGGGTTGTATTGACGACCTCCCAGAGGAGGTGCTCAGGCAGGTTCTCAGCCTCGTTCCTGCTCGAGACCTGTACAGGAGCGCCAGACTCGTGTGCCACCGCTGGCGCGACATCATTGAGGATGCCACGGTGAGATACGCCATACTTCCTTCTTTTCTTTCATACTATTCTAGTGTCCATCCCTTGACCGTCAACGAATTTCATCGCGTGTCAAGTCCCTCATGAATATTCCATTCATTTGTTCATGGTTTTCTCTTTGCAGTTTATGCCGTTCAAGAAGCAATACTATCGCTACCTGATGCACGAAGAGGTTACTGTGGCGGAGGTCGGCTCCTCATTGATCGAGAGCGGCGTCATGAAGCCAGCAATGTCACAACACAGCATCCGGAACCTCGTTATGTAATTTTTATTTTTTATTTTTTGCCTGGTCTGCTTTTCAAACATTAATCGAGTGCTCCTTGTTCGACGGCAGTTCAATGGCGCGCCACAAGTTCGGCGAGAGGGTGGATCCGACCAAAGTTCTGGAGCATGTGAAGAAACATCGCTTTTTTCCTCAGGCGGAGGCTTCCATCAGATTACGCATTCGGAATGTTCCCAAATGCCAAAATCTGAATATCGAGGTTCAGCTGACACACTCTCCTCAAGTCATGTAATATGCGCATTGGTTACATGAACGTGTTGGATCCTCCCTAAAAGGGCCCCAACCCGTTTGCAGCCATGGCGGTGATATTACTCCTCAGTGAGAGCGTCGATGACGTGCAAGCTTTGGTGATGTTGCTGAACGGCTGCATGTCGTACGGCGCCGTCACCGAGTTCCTCAGTCACATGGCCACGACGCTGCTCGCCGCCGTGAGGAACAAGGTGAAGATTAGCGAGAGGTGAGGGCCCGTTGCCAACGCCATTTATCCTGAATGCTTTTTTTTTTTTTTTTTACTTTTGAATCTTAATGGGTGCACAGTATGGAAAATTGACTTTTTAATTTGTCTACAAATAGTTTGGCTTCACTATTTTTTTAATAATGCTCTTTCTGAAATGTCCAAAGATGCCACAATAAGGTCCCTGGTAATTTCAATCCTTTTTTTGTGGGAGGGCTTTTCAGGTTGCATTACAACATCTACTATGTTCTTCACCTGAGGGAGAACGGCCCCTTTTCTGTTAGCTCCTCGAACGACAGGTGAGACCATCCATTTACATTTTGATCACATTTGCTTTTACGCTTTGTGATTTGGATTTTCAAAGCAAAAACGTCCCTGAGCGATCAAGAAATGGTCTAGCTTCCGACCAGGACTACCGTATTGGCCCGAATATAAGACAGTGTTTTTTGCATTGAAATAAGACTGAAAAAGTGGGCGTCGTCTTATATTTGAGGTCTAGACATTATACCCATTCACGACGCTAGATGGCGCCAGATATCATTGAAGCGAATGCTGAACTTGACTCCCCAGGCCAAAGCTAACCCCTGTCACGAAGAATAAAAATAAAAATAGCGGTAGCACAAAGGAGAAAAATAAAAATAATAATCATTTGTTTCAGATGTACTGTAATTATTTTCTGTATAAAAATTAATTTGGTGTTCAAAAAGTGTTTTTTTTTTCAAACTTGAGTCTTGAAAAAGAGGGGGTCGTCTTATAATCAGGGCCGTCTTATATTCGGGCCAATACGGTATTTCATGCATCAAGGCATGTTTTTGTGTTCCTGCCAGGGGCTCGCGCATGAAGATGACCTCGGAGCAGCTGCACATCCTCAGCCACGATATTCAGCAAGACCACGTGGTGAAGATTGTCGCTTTTGCCGGTCCGTCGAACACACTCAACAGTTTGCGAGCAAACCAAATCGGCTAACGCACCTTTTTGCATCCAAGGTACGGGGAAGACGACCACACTGATCAAGTACGCCGAGCAGCAGCCGCAACTTCGCTTCCTGTATGTGGCATTCAACGAGTCGTGGGCGTACGAGTCCTCGCAACGGTTTC